AGATATATTCCCAACACAATTATAGGCAATAGAAATATATTTATCCGAAGCATACTTATGGCCCAAATCGGCAAAAATATTACAATTGAACCGACGATTTGCTCCGAAAGCCGGGATTTGAACGTATAGTGAATGTCACCACTTTTGGTCTGTCGGCTCTTTACCATATCATTGGACGCCTTCTTCAGATCATAGGCCCAACCGATGGCCGCAAACATGTCTATGAAAGCCGTCCCCGGATTGAACGTATCGATTGCCCCCAACTCTGAGGCCGAGTAATCCCTTAAATATATACAATAAATTAAAATTATTTTTATAAATCACCACATATTTAGTTTAAATATGAATACCAGGGAAACGCGTGGTGAAAATTATGATAACCTTCGCCATTAAAAAAGTGTCTCATATGTGCCTCAACTGGTTTTATACTATTATCGTATGGCTATTAATTAAAATTTTAATTATTATCAATATTACTACTTATTTGGCATTATTAATTATAATTTAACAAATATTATATCTAACCTTCATTCCATAAATGTGAGCTACACTATTAATGCACCATGTTAGATTAACAATATAACAGTACCGAAGCATAACACACACGAACAAAGAGTTCCATAGGGTTTCGCCCCAATAATAATGGGGTATAAAAGTGGGAATTGCGGCCCAAATCAGTGCCAATAATGGTATATAAAATGCGCGTTGAAATTGGACAATAGGGTCGGAAGCGATGTCACTCATGTCTATAGTCTTTCCCTTTTCTTTCACTTCCGGATGTTTTTTACACAAAAGCCAACCGACGTGTGAGAAGAAGAAACCCCTCCCGGAGTTGTGTGGTATGTCACTCATGTCTATAGTCTTCCCCTTTTCCTTCACTTCCGGATGTTTTTTACACAAAAGCCAACCGACGTGTGAGAAGAAGAAACCCCTCCCGGAGTTGTGTGGGTCGGCGTCGGTGTCGCTGTGTTTGTGGTGCAGGCGATGGTCACGACTCCACTCATAGATATCATTTTGAAAGGCCAGGGTTTGCATTACCATTAGTATTATCTTAAGCGGAACATTGGCTTTATATGTGCGGTGACACCACAGCCTATGACAACCCGCCTAAAGTATGTAATTAGTAATTACTATTATTAATACACATGAATTTAATTTTAAAATAGAGTCAAACCTTAAACAGGTAATATTTTTGTAAAGTGGAAAGTAAAATAATCGTAGAAAGTTTATTATAATGGAACTAATTTAACATTATGTGAATAAAGGATGATTTCAAAATAAGGAAATGGATTGGGAATTATATTGGATTTGAACAATAAAATACATTAAATTAAAACAAAATATGATTACTTGTACGCCAAGCGAAGAGAGAACACCAATAAAATTCATAAACACAATAGTCTTAAACTGAGCGGCAGTTACGGCCAAATACAGGCCATAGACCGCCGACATGTATACGAAAGACATTAATACAATGTTTCTCCAAACCAACTCTCGACTATACATTACGGGGTTCTTGTTGTGATCAATGTTATTATGATCATTATGATCATGATCAGTTACCAGTACTGATTGGTTGTCTATTTTAGCTTCCATTTGATAAGATTGACCAAGATTATAAATTTTAATAATCTTTACGCGAGTATATTTTTAAAATAAAGCACAAATTCACTTCATTTTAGAAATTGTGATTTTATTATATTTTCAAAATTCATTTATATAAGGATTGTTATCTTAACATTTTATTATAATTTTTAAAGACATGTAATCAATTTAATTGTTATTAATTATTGCTGGTAAAAGTATGTTGATTATAATAGTTATTTAAGATTAATTTGTTTTTTATAATAATCACTTTGTTATTTACCTGAATTATTTACCTAAATTAAAAGTAAAACAATATTAGTAATTTTCTAAAAAATTATTTATTATTAATAGATGTCTTTTATTATTTGATTGATTATAAATTTTGTTATTATATTGTTATCACAATACTTTATTATTACTGTATAAGGATAAACTTTCGAGTTGCATTTACTTAAGTTTATAATACACTTCAAATTATTATTATCGCAACTATTTTACATAATTTATTTGATTATTGTAAAATAAATAATTTATTTAATTATTGTCAAATAAATAATTTATTTAATTATTGTAAAATAAATAATTTATTTGATTATTGTAAAATAAATAATTTATTTGATTATTGTAAAATAAATGATTTATTTATTAGTTAATTTTAATAAAATCTTAAACATCATGTGTAAATTAATTTGTTTGCATTTAAATAATATTATATCATGATGTATTTATTTAAATTATTTAAATTTATCTATAACTAATTTATTGATAAATTATTTACATTTGAATTATAAATCTATTTAAGTTTCATTTCTAAACACTAGAATAAGTGCGTATTTAGTGTAAATTTACATGGTACAATAACAATTAATTTTTAAAATTATTATTTTAGTAATATTTTGATTTACAAACAATTTATTGTAACAATAGTTTCCTATAAAACTACAATCCTACAAAAGATATTATACTATTATTAGTGTATGGCATAATTTTTTAACCTGGCACATTAATTGCTATTAATATTACAATTATTTTTTTAATTTTTCATACAATTAACTAACAATATATGAGAAACAAAATTAATATTTTTGCACTCAATATACACTTGTGTTAAGTAATGGTTTAGTAATTGATCTAATAAAGTGTATATTAATTGTTGATACTTATTATTTTAGATTATTCGTTCACATTCTTATTAATTTATACAAACTCTCTCTCTCTCTCTCT